ATAGAAAATAAAGATACAGATACTGATTCAAATACAAAAAAAAAAAAAAAAGACTTGAGGAGAAATTCTTGCCGAATTGAATGTTAACAAAGAACACATATGGATTATAATGTATGTATTTTCACTTAAAAGTATTTACAACACAATAGATATGTTTACTTTGATAGAGAATAAAAGTGCCATAAATTAACTTTAAAAGAGGAACACAAAAATTTAAGACATAACTAATGAACTTTACAATTCTTTAAAACATTAATTTATTTTTGCTGATGGTTAAGTCAAAAAATACAGTATGAATTCAACAAACTAAATAATCAATTAATTATTTATTATGAAAATGATTTATATTACTTCATTCAACCCTCCTCCCTCATTAGTAAATATTTTTAAAAACCTGATTTATTAACTACTTCAATTTTCCTTTGGCTGAAAATACCTATTTCTGCTTTTAAAGAAAAGGTGACAAGTGAAAGTTGTGTGATGCACACACCACCCTGATTTATGTTTTACAACTGTTGGTGCTGTTTAAGTTTAGACAGTTAGATCAATTTAAGTTTCGCAATTATTTTCAATGAACCATAATACACAATTGGCACCATTCGGTATTCTAATTGGTAAATACTTCACTACTGCTGCTTGTTCTGCTGACCTCTACCACCCATTTCCTAATGTATCTGCTAGGCCCAATGGAAGGTTATCTTAGAGAGCCACTAAACTATGCCTAAGTTTATCTGGCAGATTTGGAGGACCAACTCGGGCGATGGAATATGGTTCGTTTTAAATAAAGTAATATAAATAAAATAATTTCTGGGGATAGAACCTGGTTTAGGGCACAATAAGAAATACAATATACATAGAAAAAGGAAATAAGGAAGGTAAATTGAGGAATTCAAATCAGATAATATTTCACTAAAAATTAAAATTTACTAAAAATTAATGCCTTTACCAAGAAATCAAGCTGCATTTTTTAAAAAATGTTTTAATAGTATACGAAATATTAATGCCATGTTTGTCAAATGAACACAAAGCCCAAATGTTATCTCTACTAGGATAAACCTAATACTTTCGTTTTTATTTACACCTTAATAATTTTAAATTGTTAAATATCAATTCAATTATATTACTTATTGTTGACCTATTCATTTAATTTATGTTTTGAAATTGTCTATATTTTACATGTATTTTGTTATGTGTTTTTGTATAACTTTATTTTTTTTTAAATCCTTAGAACTTTTATTTCTAAAATTCTTTTCAACTGAGCTATTATAATAGTTCTCATCCTTGGTATTGACTATTTGATACCAGGAAATATGTTTTAAAAAATTGATGTAAAATAGTTTATTAAAAAAAATAGATCCCGACACCGAAGTGGGACTAAAACATTGTCCATTAAAAGAAATACATAATCTGAAGTGTGAAACTTCACAAATTGGTGTACATTAAAACAAGTTTAAAAAAAAAAAAAATAGTAAACACCATATTTCAGAAGTAAAATAATAACTAAAATTGCACTTCCTATAAGTTAGATATTATTAAATTAAATTATTAACCAAGGATTAGAACTATTATAATAGCTATAACTATTATAATTATAATTTTTTTTTTGTATTTGAAACAGTATCTGTATCTTTATTTTCTATAACATCAGCTTTTTCGAGAACTAGAGATGTGAGAAACTGTAACTCCTTTCCACAATTTTTTTTTCTTTTTATAACACTCATCTATATAATAAGAATATTTAAAAAAATATAGCAACAGTTTATTATGTATTTGAATAGTCCAATTACCTCCTTTACTTAGTGGATGTTTAATTCATATTTTAACAAGTTTTCGCGCCAATGTTTAAGAAAAGAATAAGCAGTTATATACTGCTTATAGCAGTTATATACTGCTAATAACATTTTGAATAAAAATTTTCCTTTTTAGCTTTTAACCTACAACACTCAGAAAATAGTTTGAATCAAGAAGTTTCATTTCACTAGATTTTATTTAGGTAGAAGTATAATAATAACAAAAATAATAATTTTAGAGGTATAATAATAGCAAAAATAATAATAATAACACGATGATGACATTTCCTATTAGTTAAATATAAGTTGTAGTGAGTGGGGGGAGTAAAGGGGAGTAACCACCATGGATTACCACCGAGACCAGCAATGTTAATATTCAAAGGATTGATCTAGAATCCACGTTTATATACCATGGCTTGTTAGATGAAGGAGTGCTGGCTGACAGAATCCATTACTGCGCGGATAGTGTGCAAACTAAGATCAGGACCCAAAATGAAGAGTTGAGCCATGCCTAGTATAAAACAATGTTCAGTGCTCTGGTGTTGGGGAGCAGAGCTAAATCCTGCAAAGTGAGTAGGAGTGCTGTGTGCATTTGATTGAACCTCACGCAGTAGGCTGTAATGGCGAGCCTTGCAGAAGTGACATGTAAACTTAGATTTGCACTCTGATGTTTTATGTTTTTGAGGAAGACAATAATTGCAACATTTAAAATTGCCTACAAATGCTTTTCGTTCTTCTAAAGAGCTGTTGCAAAAATTTAAGCAGCTGGGTAAATCATGTTGATCTTTGCAGGGCAACAACATGGTGGTGTTTGATATCTGTATGTGGAGTAGAAAAGGATGATTTTATGCACTAGGAGAATTGTTGGAATTTCAGTTAAGAGTTCTTAGTAAGTAGGAAGCTTGAAGTTCTGTACTTCGGTGATCCACATCTTGGAAACTGTGAGTGCTGGCACTGGGTTTTAACTTGATCGCCTTGAGTAGTGCTTGAAGAGGAAGCAACATCTTTGGATATTGCAAGAGCTATCTTCCTTTGCCTGACAAAGGTGATTACATCATCTACTGTTCGGAAAGTGCTTGTCGAGGCCCTAGATATCTCAAATTGCCTTTGAGTCTGTGAATCGAGAACCCTTAATGCCAGAAATGACAACACCAATATAACCTAGAATGAATTTTCCAAGTTAAGAGGCTTATAACCTTGAATGTTGTCAGCTACACCTATGACGAAGTCCTCATAATTCTGCAGCTCATTTCTTGTATTCTTGGCCTCGAAATCCAATAATTGCTGAAGAAAATATGTTGCTAGTACCCTGGGATTGTTATAAGTTTGCAGCAATTTATTCCAAGCTAGGACATATGACCATGACCTCTCTTCTATTGGAATATTTGAAACCAAAGCTGCGGCTTCATCCTTTAGTGCCCCAAGTAGGTAATAGAATTTTCGGGCATTAGTGAGTGCTGTCTGGTGATGGACTAATGAATTCGAAAGTATCCTTAAAATGAGTCCATTTCTTTATATTTCCAGAGAAACTTGGTATGGCTATCTGCGGTAAATAGGCCTTAGTGCCAATTGTACTGCTCATGGTTGGTTCCATAGAACAAAAAAAAAGTCTATTTATTAAATCCTTGGTAAATCAATTTTTATGAATTAAGGTCATAGTTGTCTTTGTTTTAAAGAAGGCTAATGACAATTTAGATCAATCTTGAAGCTAAATCTTGTACTGAAACATAAAAATGATAATTGATAGCTGATAAGAGATTTATCATGCATCAATAACCTAAATTCAAATATCAGAAAAAAAACAGGGCAATGAATAGGGATAAGTTAATTAATTGCTGATTTCCTGTGATAAATAATATAAGAAGATAATCTATAAAACTTTACCCACACTAAAATGAAAAAAAATTTATAAATATGAGTGCCAATATACAACCTATAACCTGAACTACATTAAAATATAATTTACACTAAAATTGTTTTATAATGATGTAGAGATGGTTGACCGTGATATAATATGAGAAGGAGTTGGTTGGGAGGGAGGGGGTGCGGTCAAATAAATACTAAATTAAAAATAAAAAGTATTTTTAATTATTATGCTGACGTTTCGACCCACCTTGTAGGTCCTTCATCAGGGCTACAAAAGATGCCCCATATAAAAGGTACATGGTAAAAATAAAATAAATGAATTATAAGTAAATATTAAATAAGAAACAGTTGTCTGATAAAGAAATAATAAGATGACATCAGAGATAAAATTGCTTTAGGTGAATCTAATCTAAAATTGTTTTCTTGGAATTTTCTTGGATATAACGATCGGCTATATTTTAAAAACAAAAAGTGATAAAGAGTTTTACTATGCGTCTCAACGAAAAGGTTTAATTTATTCATTAAAGATTTTAATGAAATCAAGCACGGAGAACCAAATGTTTTATTTATATTTATTATGATTGCTTTATTTTAATTTAGGATTTGATACACTATTGAAATTTAGGTAGTTGTGGATTCATACATGCTGTTATTACTTGCTCCTGTATTTCCATCTTCATTGCCTCTTCTCTCTTCCAATTCAGGATTCCTTGCCGATAAAGGTTACTACTCCACGCTTACCATATAAAAGAAAAGCTCTTAATTTTACTGTTTGCCAGCCAAGTGATCTCAATTCTACATGAGCATCAATACTTCAGGAATGGCAGAATATGCATAACATCTGAAAAGTTCTCTTCAGTATCCCATAGGCGGCAGCAGTATTGTCTGACCTCAATCCAATTAAATGGGAATTTTACTATGTTCCCTTAACACCCTAGCTCTAGGGACACAAAGGGATTGTTACAATTTTTAAACAGGTAGCCCAATTAGAACATAAGTTTCTAACTGGCTTATGGTAGTGACACAGATGCTCATATTGGCTGATACAGATAATTCAACACATGGCAAATGTTTGTCGTATGTGTGGCTGTATTGAAATCTACATTGCTTAGTACCGAAGTTAATAAAAATTCAGCACAGTATCCTTACTAACATATTGAAGAACATAAAAAGTAAGCTCAAACTGTGGATATACGACTTTGAGAAACATTATTACCTTTAAAAAAACATGAATATTGTAAGAAATAAGGAACAATTAAAAATATTAAGAAGAATAAATATTAAAAAAATGTGTGGTTTGATGAAATTTTATGAGAAAATAAAATATCTGTTATTATAGCTTACTTTGGGCAATAGGAACCCAACTATTGTTCCAAGGGGTTCGGCCAGAAATTAAATAATGAGTGATTTCTTTTCCATGGGTGGCTCCGTCAGTCCATTGAATAATTGCTGAATTTTTGGTGATTTCCAAAACTTGAACACCTCCTAAAATAAAATAAAACAAAGCGTAGAGGTTAATTTATATGTTGCTTATAAATATCAAAGTAAGTAATATCATATACATGTTATACTGTTGAATAAAATCAAAGGAATAAAACCACTAATTTATATGCTCAATGTGGTGTATTTTTATCAATTAAATAATAATATAAACAATATTCTTACCAGGTGGTCCTGGAGGTCCTTCGACAACTATTGTGGTTTGAGTAGATACTCTACCAACAGTACTTTTTAATGAACACTCATAATCACCAGCATCAGGAAATGTCACATTAATTATTTCTAAATAACCGCTATCAATTTTCTAAAAAATAAAATAACTTGCAAAACATAAAAGTAACCAAGATAAGCAAAACAAAAGCAAAAACGTTATGAAGATATAATTGGATAATAAAATCAAACGCGGTGAAATAAAGAATTGTATGTTGGTGGTAATTCAATTTACAACTTTGGCTTGCTAAGAATTGAAGATTGTATTAACATAAATGTTTTCTGAATTGTTCCATGGATTGGAGTCATGAATTGAACAATGTAGTGATGAAGTTCAGTAACATCACTTACCAATGAAATTTTAAAAAAATATCCAAGCAAATAAAGCATACAAACCTATAATAACCACCCAAAAAAAGAAAAGTCTATAAGGCAAGTAATAAGTGTTACTGTAATGAAATATCATAACGGATTTTCAATCACATGATATTAATATGCACAACTATGGGTACAGAGTTCAAAGATTTTGATTTATAAGCTTTTCAGTGCAAAAATGGGCTAATGAAATACCATATAAAATTAACATGGCCTGGATTATTTGTTTTATTTTATAACAATAAATTGATATTGATATCATACTCATATTAACATAAATCAAATAAATGATCAATTTAATAAAACTTACAACTCTGTGTTTCTCTGTAGCAGAGCTGAAAAGTCTTATTCCATTATGAGTCCAAATAAAAGCATGGTCTAACATATCTACAGTTACAGCTTTGCAATGGAGATAAATACTCTTTCCAATTGAGGTAACAATTTTTGGAGGCAAAGTTTCCAGCAAAGAAGGTCCTCCTGAAATATTAGAAACAAATAATAATAATAAAAGGCTAAGCGAACCCGAAGGTTCGATGCCGACACCACCAATCGCTTATTACACACCTCCCTCCACTGTTCGCCGCCCAAACCCAGTCCCTTCAGATTGGCTTTAATGCAATCTTCCCACCTTCGCTTCAGTCTACCCCTCGGACGCTTACCATTCGCCACAGCAAATATTAACCTTTTAGGAATTCTCTCGTTACTAAGCCCAACAACTTTACAAGCCCATTTGATTCGCCGCGATGAAATTACCTCAATTATATTACCCGGATACAGCTCACGCAATTCGGCGTTGTGTAACCGTCTGAACTCTCCGGTTAACTCATCCTTCTTCGGTCCGAATATTCTACGCAATACTTTATTTTCAAAAACCTTAAGACGCTGCTCATCCCTTAATGTAAGCGGCCAAGTTTCGCATCCATAAAGAACTGTAGGCAAGATAATTGTTTTATAGATTCTAATTTTTAAGTTCCGGGACAAGAGGCGCGAACTAAGTAGTTTTGTCACAGAAAAATAACAAGCATTTCCCGCCTTCAGTCTAACCTTAATCTCTTCTTCAATTTCGTTTTTTCTAGTTATCGTAGAACCTAGATACCTAAATTTATCTACCTGTTCAAACATATTACCATCTATATCGATATCACCAGTAGTATCGCCATTTTTGCAGCTAACCATATATTTTGTTTTATCCACGTTTATTTCGAGTCCTAGTTCTTTACCGGCTTTCATTAACGTTGTCGTATTTAGTTTTATAGTTTCAACGTCTTCGCTTAACAGTACCAGATCATCAGCATAGCCCAGCACGGATGTTGTCCCGCCCAGATCCAACCCTTTCTCGGTTCGCATTACCTCCCTAATGGCATGTTCTAATGCCAAATTGAACAGGACAGGCGAAAGAGAATCCCCCTGTTTTAAGCCCGAACGAACCTCAAATTTTTCGGACAAATTATTACCGATTCTAACTTTATTGAGTGTCTCCGTCAAGCACATCCTGACTAGATTTACTAGTTTTTTTGGAATCCCCTGCTCGATTAGAATATTATACAGTTTCTGGCGGTCAATAGAATCGTAAGCCTTTTTAAAATCTATATACAGCTGGTGAACAATACCGTTATACTCCAATTTTTTCTCTAATATTTGCCGTAAAGAAAATATTTGATCAATAGTCGAACGATTCCGTCTAAATCCGCATTGGTAGTCTCCGATAATTTCCTCGGCGTATTCCGTGATTCGACTGGTTAAGATTAAAGTGAATATTTTATAACATACCGGAAGGAGTGAAATTCCTCGATAGTTATTACAATCCGTCCTCGGACCCTTTTTGTGAATCGGAATAAGAATAGATTCTTTCCATTCTTCAGGTAATTTCTCGTTCACCCAGATCTTTTTAACCAACCGATGTATTTTAGAAACTCCAGCTTCCCCGCATGCCTTAATTAGTTCAGTAGGAATATTATCGATTCCCGCTGCTTTATATGATTTTAATTTTCCGATAGCTACTTCAACTTCCTCTTTACTTGGTCCTTCTATTAATGGTTCAGCACTCTGGTACTCAGAAGGAGGACACAGATCATAATTTCCCGTATTTAAAATATTGTCAAAGTGGTCCTTAAACTTATTCAATATGTCAACCGGATCGGTCAGAATATTGTTATTATCATCCCTAATTCCAGACGTTACGGGCCCTACATATTTACGTGATCTGTTTATACCTTTGTACATGTCTCTTACGTTATTTTCGATTCTATTAGTTTCTATTTCAATTATTTTATTTTTAAGATACTCCCTTTTTTTATTTTTGAGCAATTTAGTCGTTTCGTTCTTTGAGATTCGGAAGTATTCCAGATTGTCTTCACACATGTTTAAGCAATCTTCATCAAACCACGGTTTGTTATTCTCATTTTCCTTTTTTCCTAGACATGAGTTACCGACCGCTTTAATATTATCTCTGATCTCTACCCATAATTTGTCAATATCCTCGTGGTCCTCGTCAGGAAGCTCTAAAGCTTCAAAACTATTCTTAACATCTAGCTCGAATTGGGTTCTAATTGATGGATTTTTTAATTTTTCCAAATTAAAATTCTCGAAATCGAAACGGTTTTCTTTTCTCTTTTTTATATTAAGTTTTTGACGAAGTTTCACGATTACTAATTCATGAGAAACAAATATCAAAATTATTTAAAACCTCATATATGGCGTCATATATCACTGTGATATAAAGATATGGTCAACAATTGATAAAATCAAGGAGATGATAATAGGAGTACTGTTTGAAATAAAGCAAAATATAATAAAACAGGGTGGCTACCAAATTATCAGAGTAAAATTCCCTAACTTTTCCCTATTTAATGAAAGTTTTCCCTGAACAATATGTCAGGGGACACAAATGGTAAAAATGTATAGTTTATAACTAATTAGTTTGTAACTATAAGTAAATATATAATTTATAACTATTTAATTTATCAAACATGATTGAAAATTGAAAGATTAGAGTAAAAAAAAGTCTGTTCAGTCTTTTAAAAACAAATATAATGTTCTGGAGGAAGCATTTTTTAAACTTGATTAGGATTTTTTTTTAATTTTTATTTCAGAAAACTAAACTTTAAGTAATTTATTTTTATCGCCTAATTACTAATACTTTAAGCACTTTATTTTCATAAAGTAAGAGTATGTAAAATTATATTATTTTTTATATTATTATATTGCTGTTTATTATTTTTATTTATTGTGCATAGTATAAATGAGCTACTCTTTATCACTATTACTATTGTCCTTGAATGTGACAGATTGTAATACATCTCAATAAAGAAATTTCCTAAAAAAAAAAAAGTTTGCAGGATCTTGAAAATGGCCACTGAAGGCGGAACATCAAATAAATAATACATGATGTGATGACTGTGTATATTTAGCCCAATGTTTTTTTTTAAAATCTTTAATATAGTTGTAACTATCATTAATAAATAAATAAAAAATTGTATTTATTATAATGCTATTAATTGCAATGATAAACCTAAGTTACAATTAAAATAAAATAAAAAAAATATTTCTCAATGTTGCAGCAACACAGCTCTTTATTGGTCTTTCTTCTCCATGTTAGTACTCTGATCCAAGATCACTCTATTTATCGTGCAGAGGATTTTTCTCTCAAATCATTTTATCATTAACTTATAATTGCTCTAGCCTTTACATGATGAAAGATAAGATAGTAAAGTAATATATATTCATAAAGGAAATTTAATATTAAACAACTTTCTTCCTTATGACTTTTTCGTAAAATGAAAAGATAAAGAGTTGGCATGTCAAATAATGATAAAAATGTGATGCAAAAAAATGTTGTTTTTCCGAAATTAGTGAATAACGAGAAATTCACGGAAACTATAGAATATAGCGAAAAAAACTAATATAACCATTTCTATTGTAAATTTTGTTAGCTTTAATTTCACATATGACATTATTATAGATAGAACGTATAGTTTCACTGATATAAGCAAAAAACCGAAAAAAGTAAACTTTTTAAATTGTAAATTCAACTTTTCGAATTGAAATCCACGGGTATAGGGTAACATACTTTATTTCATGTATTAAGACTGTAAATACTATAAATTGAAAGGATTGGTAGCTTTATATATCTACAATCCCTATCTCTATATATAAGCTTACAACCTATGTAGGATATTTATCTATTTTCACATGGTCGCCATTTTGTATTCCATCGGCTATATGCTGGCAGACATGCATTTCTCTCATTAGGCCTGTGGATATGGTCAATTTATAAGGACAAATCTTAGTATCAAATATGACACCTTTTTTTCCACAGGCTCCAGGACTAACTCCATTAGGCTCCTTATTATCTTTTCTAACGCACATAACCTTGTTCTTAGACGGGTTTATATACAGCCCTTATCGCTTCAATTCTTCTTCTCACTCGACTAATGATGTCTGTAGAGCCTCTTGTGATTGCTATAAGGATTATGTCATTGGCATATAACATAGCTCGAGCCAACACTGGTGTCAAATTCCAATATCCTACTATAGCCCTTAGGGTTCTTCTTTTACACACTTTCCAAATTTCATCCATAAGAAGGATAAAAAGCAGAGGAACAAGACTATCCCCCTGCTTTTCATCCATAAGAAGGATAAAAAGCAGAGGACTAAGACTATCCCCCTGCTTTACTCCTTTATAAAAGTGGAAAGGCTCTGATGTGTGTCCATGGAGCCTTATTATACCTTTAATACTAGGAAATAGATTCAGGAAACAAATGAGGCTTAGATGAAAACTTTTACACCACAAATACACAAAAATACCATCATTCTTCTCTACATGTCACAATAACAAACAACAAAGGAATCATACTGAGGTTACTGAACACAAGCCAACCTGCTATATTTGTAACAGCTGAGCAGTGTTACAAAAAATGATGCATTAACTTAACAATACCCTTTAGGTCTTGGTATATAGACTCACCTAGTTTGCAGGAGCTTCTAATTAGTGAGTCCCATATCTCCTGTCTCTGAACTGAGTCAAATGCAGCCCTAAGATCCAGAAATGCTAGATAAACCGATTTGCCACAGTCCCATGCTTTTTCCACAATCATCCGTAGTGAGATTATGTGGTCTTGGGTCTGTCTGCCAGGTCTGAAAGCACTTATACATGGTGGGCCAGACCCCCTTACAGTGCACCCCTCCCCCCCCCACATCCCTATAAATTGCATATCGTTGTGTTCCTTGTAACTATTTATTAAAAAAAAGCCAATGTTCCCACAAAAAAAAGTGAACGCACTGCCCCAAAATGGCGTCCAAAGATGGCGGATTGACGACTTTGACTTTAGTTAGTTTTTTGGTCACTGAGAATCAGCATTTGGCTTAATTTCCTCATAGTTGGTCTTTTATTAAAGCTGAATAGTTATAGAATAATAAAACATGAAGAAATATTAAAAAATAATTGGCTTAGGCTATGAAAAACACCAGTAAAGTCA